TACGAATGGGATGGGTGGTTGGATGTTTTCATGTTTTTTTCGATTGTAGTGTAAATACGGCTCAGTTTTCTTTAGAAAGGCCTTCCACGAAGACATCCATTTCCTTAGGTATTGATCAGCATTCTTGTGTTTTGTTACATTCAGATATTCTAATTCAGCCTTAACAAATAATATGTATTAAAATTTGCAGGGCTACTTATTCAGAAAATTGACAGAAATTAATTATTGAAAAATGTAAGAAGCGCATGCGTAATAGTTTCTGAATTCTGTCATTATAATACACCTGATTTTTTAACAGCACAAAATATGAGTTTCAGAAGTCATTAGAGTCAAATAAAATATCGCTTACAAGCACTGTTTTCTAAAGACTCCGAGGAATAAATAGCTGTTTATGAAATTAATGAAAACGTAAAATATTTTAATGTTTAATATGTATCAGCTGTTAGATTTTTATGAATTTTGAACTTATTAATTACATTTATGTATGAATACAATATTTATTGGAGTTGGTTCTGAGAATGCTTAAATTTAGAGCTTCAACAATTCTACCTTATACTTCATCCTTAGTTTTAGCCTTTAATGAAAACTCAAGGAACCATTAACTAAGCAAATCTTGGAAAGAATAAATGATACCGAGGCAGTTAATTTATTTTGCATTAAATGGAGAGCGATGAACGTGTTACGTTAATTACTGAAAACGAATTTAGATGAGTTTCATAAACATGCTAGTTTAGGGAAAAAAGGGTTTTTCTATTGTAACACCATTGATAGCGTGGTAGGTATTAACAAAGCGATTTTCCCATTTAGTGCTAATTTAAGAAAATTTCTTGCGTCACATTTAATGTGTTCTGAGTTAAAGTTTCCGGATCTGTTCCATCTTAATTTTTTCATTTAATTATCACGGTTAGAAAACGCTTTCAAGGGCTCTTGTGTGATCAAAACTCATCTTTTAGTTCCTTCTCTTCCTGTTCTCAAATTAGGTTAGAATAATTAGCCGTTAATGACAGTAATTCTCATTTAAAATGCTGATGCCACCTCCATTAGCATTTCACCTTTCTCAGGCTTCTTGAACCGTGTGTAGCTTCTCCTCGAATCATGCTTAAAACTATTGATTTTCAGAAACTTGAAATAATTGGATTACCAATTTCTTCTCTGCCAAGCTTTCCTCTTTGCTTCCGTCTCGTCGCAGATACTTTCAGACATCGAAAAGAAAGTGACGCCAATGTGAAATCAATTCGTCGGCTCTCATGATTTTGGTCTTTAAAAGATTCAAATTTGATTTATTCTGCTTAATATATTGATGATCACTAATCTTTTCCTTCAGCAGAAATGGTCTGATATGGCCCAAACGGTTAAGAAGTCTGTTTCATTTATTACAAGATGATCAGTTGATTTATACAGAATTGAGAATTCGTATATTAATATTTTAGTTTAATCACATTTTGATCTAACAATTTAAATATTTTTGCTATATTTTGAGGAAATACAAGATATTACTGTACTTTTTTACAAGTTTCGGCTGGAATTAGAATTCGGGGTGTCTATTTCGATGTAGCCAGAATGCTCATACCTGTTAACTTATGCTGGGGTTAATGAGACTGGGAAGATTTGACTTTTAATAACAAGATCTGATTGAATTTTTCAGCCGTTTAACATGACTGTTGCTGCGATTCATAAACACAGGAAGTAATGCACTGTAGTCATTGCATGCATTCTTATATTGCCTAATATAAATAATTTCGATGAAATGTATATATTGAAAAACATTATTTCTAGATTTCTTTTGTTCATTACACAGTATTTTAAATAGTATTAATTATATACACTAGATTTATCTTTTTAGCTTTTTGTCAGCCAATTATATTTTGTCTGTCCCTGACAATTATATACTGATATATGTGTAGAGTACTTCCTTGAATTTCAACAAAAAATATAATTGTTGGTTGAACTATCCTCAGAATTTAAAGGATTAGAATTTTATTTATGTTCACCTTTCACTGTCAGTAATAACTTCGATTTCACGTTTAATATTACTTTCAGCATCGGTTGAATATTTAATAATAAGAATCTTTTTTATGCTATAGTTATCACTCTTTCTTTTTTTTTATTTATATTTTTAAAGCCGCTTATTGAAGTACTAACTAGAAATAGGTTGGAGAGAGAAATTACACGAACCTCCTTTGTTGTTCTTAATTTTTTTTTTTTTTTTTTATGTATAATATGTCGTTAAAAATGGGAGCAAAATCACACGCTTAAAAATATTATTTGATTATTCAATCACAGTAGAACAACATGGCATGAGCAATGAGGAGGATTTTTATAAAAGATTGATTACAGTTACAGTAAATTCATTTGTTGAACTAATGTAATCCCAGAGCTCTTACATTTTTTTACGACATATAGACGCTTCTGACGGCAGTGCTTGAGAATATTGGGTACATCTTAGACTCATACAAACATCAAACGGTTCCTGGATAATTTTGATGCCAGATATTCTGTTGGAACATATTGAGCAAATTACCAGATGACTGTAATTCGTATTCTAACAAGTTCCGTACGTGTTCTATTGAGGAAAGATCTGGCAATGTGGAAGGTCAAGAGGGCATTATAGTACTACACATGTATTCCTAAAGAAGGGCTAATGGACATCATTTTCTTTGAAGTTTCCGATAGACAGATGTAGCGGAAAGTATAATATAACAAGTCGCAGAATCTCCTGAATCTATCGCACTTGAGTGTTAAAAAGGATGAATACCATCACAGGCGGTTCTCCAAATGGTAACGATAGATGTAATGAATGCATGTCAGTTCAATGATTTGAGGTGAAGAGTGTTAAATAAGGTTATTTAAATATGGCAGAGAACACGAGGACTATCTTCGTTAGAGAGGTACCTTTGTGGAGGACTTTCTGTGAGAAACTGGCTCATATTCACGTTAATGCTGGTTTCAACGGTTTTAACCATAGAGCCGTATAATTCAACTGAAGAGCCAGTCAAACGTTTTTTTCTGCATACGCTATCCGACCGAAGCAAAATCATACTTCGTAGCTGGACATGTTACGATTGTTGTTTGATACTTTCCAAGCTTCGTGGCCGCGATATTAAACTAATCGTTGCCTTTGCTGCTTGAGTAGTAAGCGTTGCCGTTAATGCCGAGCGGTAGACGTCTGAACGAATGCTGGTAGTGGAATCCAGCCTTTCTTGCTCTGTGTTTCATGACACTACACCTCAGAGAGATATGGGAGATAGCGAACCTGTAATCCTGAGTGGGAGATAGTGAAGTATCTCCCACTCAGTTAACTGTCTCTACTCCCCTATTCTTCTTAGAAACTGCTGTCTTAAACCTACCATTGCCTTCATGACAATTTCGATTGCGCTGTTGGAACACTCATAACAGCATAATCTGTTTCTGTCATCGCTCGATATTAAGTCGAGCTTTGAAAGCTGAACAATAGTCATGTGGCTAAAGAAAACTGTTAGTTGTTCTTGTTTTGGTTCCAGGCGGCTGAGCAAGATGAGCTGGAGTTTTCCTTTTTGCGTTATTAAAGTGAGGTACGTTTTCTGCACAAAATCTTGTATGAAGTAGACAGCATACTTATGCCTTGTTATAATTAATGAAAGAAGTGCAATCTGTGACTCTTGAAGGCAGAAGAAAATATACTATCGCCTTTCCCCAATATTGTTTTTAATTTAGTAATTTATTGTAGCTTCATGTCCGAGAACAAGAAGTTTTATTTGCATTTGGTGAACTTTTCATCTGTGTGCTAATTAAGAGCACATTACGCTTTTCATGGAAATGAAACAAATTTAACATTTTAGTAATTAGAATTGAAAATATTTTTGGAACTGCACGTTTGAATGCTAAGAGGGAAAAATTTTAAACCTTATAAGCATGTTTATTTTATGAATCAGTCATTGTTTAGTTAAATCATTCAACAGTGGTAATAAATACATTGTAATATATACTTGAAATGAAAGAAAAGTTTGAATTCACTGCACTTGGAATTAATGCTAATCACGATATTTGATCTTCCGTATGTATTATATGAAGAAAGTATATTTTGCGAGAGATTTATTTGGGGATAACATAATAAGAGGGCTCACATGCAGCTTAGTTTTGAAATAAAAATTTATTAATCTCTCATAAAATTTATTAATTTCTGTATAATTCATACTTATGTTCTATCGTTATCGTTTTCATGCCTTATAATACAGGTAAAAAAATAAGTATGCCATACATTATATGTAGAAAATGAGTTTCATGCCTTATAATATCGGTAAAAAATATTAATGTTTTACTTAGCTCATTTTTAACAGAAGAAAATTTAATTATGTGTGTTCCTAGAACAATGTTTTTCAGATTATTTTAATTTTATGTAGTTATTATAGCTAAAAGAGTGTGTTGTGTTTCTTGCGATCTACGTTGCTCTTGTTTGTTTTTTAATTCAGGGAGTAATCCCGTTAACTTGGCTGAACATATAATGAGGACCTTTTTAGTGAATATTTTGAAGTACGTTAACGTGGCTTGTCTTGCCCATTCGCGTGGGTGTATGTTATCAGTGGAGCTGAAATCTTACAAATACTGTATCAGACTTTTATATTTATTTAGACCCAAGAAAATCATTTATTTGGAGAAAGTTTCCTATTGAAAATGCTTGGCTGATATCTATTGAAATAATTGATATTTTTATAAAATAACTTTGTGCTTCAGAACAGGCCGCAAGAGTGTCTTCTGTTAATTATAACAGCGTACGTACTCTTTATGTATACTCTTTTCATCGTAGGCGAAATAATCTAAGCGACTGAACAACTTGTATTTAAAGGTAATGATGAATTTTTATTGTAGTAGATATACGAATATGTAGCTTAATAAGTTTTTCTCTTCAAATTCTTGTAGTTTATATTAAAGACTTGTTAATTTGAGCGCTAATTGCTTTTTAAAGACCATCTTGTTTATTTTGAATCTTTAATGTTACAGATATCAAGGAAGTTTGGTCTTACCTATGACCATGCTGTCTGAGTCTGTCCGCTGAGCTAACGTGTACAACTGGAGTATCAGCTGCGGCGCCGATTCTAAAAAACTATGCACCAAGCAAAGCGTCGCAGTTTGTTTGTCTTCTTTCATAGTCATTTGGCGTATTGCATTTTTTCTCTTCCGGGCTTCCATAACACTGCGGTGTTCACGGTCTTCTAAGTGATCTTTGGACAGGCACTTACAGAGCAAATGGAGGTACCTAGAAAGAAATTTAAAATATCGGTATACAGAGTTGAGCAATTAAAAGACATAAAGTATGGGAATGGCAATTGTACTTTTAGGCTTAACTATTTGCAATTGTGATGAAACTGTAATGGGATAGGACTTTTTTTTCCTCTTGGCATTATTTTCTAGCATAAAATTAGCAGATATCCGTCAGATATTTTCCTGTAATCAATTTCTATCACATGAACCTTATCTATGAAGTATTTATTTAAGTTACTATGAAATATTCTGCGTAAGAATGTGAGTATGAATGAGAAATAATTAGATATAATTTGTGAAATTTCTAGGTCGTCGTCATGTTCAGAAGTAAGTGTACTTACAATACGGCCCAGATAAGAAGTTCTGCCCTCCCTCAAGAAGTAAAATTTAATTTTTACAGCTCCGAAACTGAATCGAAAAACTATATCCAAATGTTTCAAGGATATGAAGTTGCTGCTTACTGAGTTTTCATAGTTAAGAAGTCTCAAGGCTATGATACGAACAATATTAAAAATATTGTTTCCTTATTTTCTGACACCAGTTGTTAAGTTATTTTCTTCCCTCACGTTCGGACGCGGTTCGTGTGGATTTGGAGTAAATAACGACGACAGATGACAGCACTTGATGGAATATCGAAACACACTTTATTGGCCGGTATTAATCAGGACAGCTCCAAAGTCACGTTTTAAGTCGTCGAAAATCTACTATAAACTCGCTGGAACAATCAGTGACAGAGCCTTCAGGTTATCAGGTTATAACGGTGGAGACAGCTTTACTGCAAAGCACCAGAGTACAGCACCCGACTCTGCTTGGCTGTTCTCGGAACTCTACGTACTTTCGAGACTCTCCGCGCTACAATTCGCGATTTACTCGACGATACACAGAGCACAGCTCCCGACTCTTCGGTTTAGTCGTTCCCGGAACTCAACACACTCTCTCGACGATGCGCTAACCGCGATACACTAAGAGACTCTTTAGATGCACTCGACGACCCACTCGGCACTCGCTGCCCGGCTGCCAACTCGATCGACTCCGCACGGACTAATTCGAGACACTAACTCAATGACTGACTAGCAGCTCTCTAGACGAAGCCGAAAGCTATATAAACCAGCAGGGTTTATATAGCTTTCGGCTTGTGTTCGAGAACATTCTGGGCTAAACCGGTAAGAATTCGTTCCAAAGTTTTCCGTCCGTCCATGGCATATCGCCAATTTTGTCGCCAAATGGTCGATTTCTCGCCAAATGTGATAATCCTGCTGTCTCTTTCCATTTTATGGCAACCCTAAAACTGCTTGCGGAGAAGCTATCTTACCGCGCCTGGACATTTCCTAACAATATTTTTATGAGATCTTACTATCGTGTTTCCCTAAAAACAAGACCAGGAGGAGTTTCGAGCCAAGACCACTAACAGTCATTTAGGTCACCACTATGACCACCGAAAACCGCAATATGCTTTTGTTCATTTATATATGTGGTTTTAAATTTTATAAAATTTAAGCAATATTTAACATTATTAAGACACAATAACACGCCGAATAAATACTAATTCAGAAGTCAAACAACAAAAATCAGCGTTATATTTACAAAATTTTCACAGGACTAGTTTCGATGGTTTCACCGAACCACCATCCTCAGCTGCAAAACCGCAAAATTTTTTTTCAAAAAATTCTTTTGGTAAAACACACAGAGTAAGTTCTTCCTGTCTAATGTTCTGTTCTGATATTTGTTATTAGCACTGGGTTTGAGATAAAATAATCGAATAAGGTATATAGTTGAAACTGTATTTCGCCTCAAACCAGCATAAATTCGCCGAAGGTCTGAATATCTTGAAAATTAAAAATTAATACGAATTAATTTTCCTTATGTAGTCCTCCACGAAGGCAACCATCCTAAGGTAGATAGCTCTCGTATGCTTTGTCATAATCATTCAACCAACCACGAACTTAAAACTAATGGCTTGAGTTAAGATTGGGAGAGCTCATCAGTAGGACCAAGGCATTTGGATTACGGAGTACTTTGCAATTAATTGCAATTACCTCCACATCATCGTTCAGATAAATGAATTAAATAAGAGAGAAGCAATCGCTAAAGTTGATGAAAGAGCAGATAAGCTGAAGTCAGGAAACGCTAAGGGTCCTCATTGTTAGGACACAGGAGGAGAGTACAAGAGTTTATCACAATTGAAGGCGTTTAGCCCCCCGTAGTGAGTCAACTTTTTGCACTCAGTAACAAAAGAGAAGTCATCAGTAGGAGAGTGGATAAGATCCGTCTGAACATTAGTATGTTTGACTGAATTCCAATTCTGGCGAATGAGCTGCTGCATAGACTCATCGTGATTTTCCTCTTGTGTACTACACTGTCTACCAATAAATATTTGGAAACCTGTGATAGAAATGAAAAACAAAATTTATTCAACAGTTGGGTAGAGACTCTACGACTGGCAGTTACAACCTCAACCATTCGGGGCATGCTTTTCCACAAGTCCTTGTATGACGGCTGTTGGTATTTTTTTCCACTCGGCTACATCGGTAAAGAAATGATGTTCCTTCACCGATGTCGGACGGTTGTTGCATCCCTTAATCCAATTCGTACCAGAGGTTCTGTTTAGGGTTTAGGTCTGTGTTCTGGGCAGACCAGTTCATCCGGTTAACCCCGCTGTCACCATAACAAACAATCGCAACATGACAGCTTGCGTTGTCGTCTTGAAAGTAACATGGATCCTAACCCGTAAAACTCTCACAACGTAGGAAGCACACTGCCATCCAAAATAGTGCAGTAGACGTCGGCGTTCTGCTTACCATGAATTTTGACTAAGGATTCCAGTCCATATCAGGAGAAATACTCGTACCTCCAGACCATAATTCCACCTCCGCCGAACTTTACTTTGGGCACAGTGCATTGTGGCTGGAGGCGTTCTCCATGCTGATGGCCAGACCCAGACCCTGTCACCCGAACGGTAGAGGGTGAATCTTGATTCCTCGCTTCAGAAAACTTGTTTATATTTTACTGATCTATCATCCACTGTCGATGTGCTTTGCACCACATTAACCGAGTACCGCGGTTGGACTTTTAAAATTAAAGGCTTGTGGGCGGCTGCACAATTATGAAAACCAAGCAGATGTGCTTTGTTACGGGTGATATTCATCGAAACAGCACTCCCGGATGCCTATTGAAGCTCCTGGAGTATCTGGGCAATCGATTGGGTGCGGTGTTTCCCAATTTCTCTGTTCAGCACCCATCGGTCTCTATCTCCCAGTTTCGCGAGTCTCCGACAATTACCGCTGATGTTCCACTTCTGAATTACATAGGCTACTCTCGATTTTAAGTTATTTAGCTCGCTAGATATGCCCCTTAAGGATCGGCTACTTATGTGATACCCGATGATTACGCCTTTCTCGAAATCAGATAACTTCCTACACAACATTTAACGGCGGAAGGCATGATGTATATTAGAACCGCAGATATTGGCATTTGCATGAGTGCCAAAATACTTATTGGTAGACAGTGTGTGAATCCACCGAAGGAATCAGATTTTCTTCGAAAAACTTTCACGAAGCCATCTCACCTTTTAGGCAGATAACCCTTCTCGTGTTTTGCCTCATTTAATTTCATAAAAAAGCAAAACCATTATTGAACGTTTCCACTTCTCTAGTTTTCTGAACTTACCCCGTTTTTCATTGCTAACAACACCAAACAGAGAAGCAGACTTTATTTTGTTATATTATTAAAGATTGTCTATAGTGCACATTAAGTCTTTAATTAACAAATTTTTTATTGCATTACTTATTAAGAAATTTATACGTAATAATAATATTTGCTAACAAATTTTTTATTGAATCACTTATTGAGAAATTGATACGTAATAACAATGTTTGCTATACAAAGTACTTTAATAATAATGATTAGACAGGAACGGCAGCTAATGCTTTGAATTATAAATGCCAGTTATTGAAAAACTATGGTACCATTTATTCTTAGTGCTAAAAAATAATAACTGGATTGAAATTGAATGCACAGGATGAAGTTGTAGGGAATTTAACCTCTATTTGCAGCAGCGTTTTAGAATTATGATGTTCGTATCATTTTTCCTTATAATTCTTGCTTATTTGTCATGCTTACTTATTTGTACTCATATTATTTACTTATGACCGTACTTATTTGTAGCAAAATAGTTATAAAACTATTTTTGCTAACATATAATATTAATGCAACGTAAGTTAAATTTAACAGAAATCTCTTTCCTTGCCTTAAAATATCTTAACGATTATTTCTAATTTAGGGAACTGAAACATGCGTCTTAAAAAATTGTGCAGATTAACTTGGAAAAATTATACAGATTCCAAACTCACTAGCGGGAAAAGTTGCTTTCGAAAAAATTAGTGATGGTTTCCTTTTTCACTATTAATTAGGTTATTAGCTTTTAATTAAGGAATATAAGTTTTCCGTCAAATTAAGGAGTCGAGTGATTATAAATGTAATTACTCGAATATTTTACGAAGTTGTTGGTGTCTGCAACTGCAGAATATGTATAAATCTCAATGATATTGTGATTACATATTTAAAAAATAAGTTTGATTCCAAAAATTAAAATAGCTTAAATGTTCCTTATTAAGAAAGTAATATTCTACGGAATAGGAGGGGAGAAGATAAACTACTGAGAGATTTATTATCTAATTTGAATCGTGCGTTCATTAATTCGTTATTGCGCTTTTGGTTTAGAATAAGGAAACAAAAAGGTTACTTTTGGTGTAAAAGACAATTTTCAGTTGCATTCATAACTTTGGTGTTGATCATCAGAGTTATTTACAAGAAAAACTCATTTAGTGTAGATTCATGCATAAGAAAATTACATCGTGTGGCAAAAAAATCATATACCATCTTAAGTGATTAATCAGTTAGCACTTTTTTTTTAACTTTACGGAAAACTTTTCATTGTTAGTTTTAGCTTGAAATTTGTTTTAAATTCACTAATTTTAAAATGTGTGAGATAAGACA